AGCCCATGCTGACGCTGACGCTGATGCACTGCCTGCCATTGCTGCAGTCAATGGTGCTGCTGCTGGTGCACCTCCGCCTAGTGTTGCCCCCAGCCTTGCCTCTCCAGCACCAGCGCCTCCCCATCCGCCCTTGGCTCCCCGGTTCGCCGCTAATTCCATGCCGCCACTCGATTCACTCGCAAGCCCCTCGCTCCTTTCCCCACATCCAGTAGTCAGGGGCACCCACTCCTCGCCTCGCCGCACACCCCCTCCTCGCCCAGTAGCCCCGTGCCCCTTCACCAGCCTGCCCCACTCCGCCGACCACCCCCTGACTTTAAGCCTCTCCGCACCTGTTGCTGCTCCCGCACTCACCGCACTGTCATGCACAGCTCCCCCTTCTTCCCACGCTCTCCCTTCGCCGGAAACAGCAGCAACAGCAGTAGCAGCAGCAGAAGCAGCACGATCAGTGGCAGCAACAGCGAGGGCATCCCTGGAACCGGCGGACATGCAACGGCCAGCATGCCTCAACTGCACCGCCGTGCCCCTGGCCTTGCCGTCACCTGTGCTGGCAGCAGTGGTGCAGGGAGCAGCAGCAGCGCAGGGCAGGTGGGCGGAGGAAGGCGGCAGCGGGTGCGAGTGGAAGAGAATGCCTGAGTGTGTGTTGCTGTGCTGGTGATGCACGTGCGCGTGGCGCTGAGCCTCTGAGGGACGGGGGGGAGGGTTGGCGGGGAAGCAAGGCGAGGAGGGCGTGGAGGATATGCACAGCGGCGCACTGGGCTGCTGGCACCATGCACTGAGCCTCTGCGCACCCTCCTCTCTCCGCCCCTCCCCTCCTCCGCCAGCACCAACGTCACCAGCGCCCCCTGCACGGTCGCCACCGCCTGCCAGCACATCCCCCATCCCTGCCCACTCAGCCCCCAACGGTCCCCCCATTCGCTTCCCCGCTACCAGCAACCGCTGAGACAGGCTGTAACTGGGGGAGGCGCCACCTGCTGTGCAGGCAGCAGCAGGAGCGGCGGCAGTGGGAGGAGGAGGAGGAGGGGTGGAGGCAGCGGGCATGGGCGTGGCAGCAGTGGCGGCGGGGCGGGAGACGTCTGTGAGGCGCTGCCTCATGGCTTGCAGATAGCGTGCTATGGCATGCGGGTCACTGGAGGAGCGGAAGAGCGGCGAGGGCACCATGCGCACTGCTGCCACCTGCTGCCACTGCGGCCTGCCTCCCACAAAGAGAGGCGGCACGGCAGCGGCGGGCGAGCGTGCGTCTGTGGGAGTGTGGCGCTGCCACTGCACGTGGTCGTGCTGCTGTGCATGCTGCATGTCGCCTTGCTCCCCGCCAGTGTGTCTCGCATACACCATGTCGGATGCCCTGCCACACGCCTCCCACTCACCCCCTGCTGCTGCTGCATTGCATGGTGAACCGCCATCAGACTCTCTGCTGGACGGACTCCTCTCCTTACCATCCTCACATATGCTTTCCTGCCCCTCCGCCAACCACAGATTACCCGCCTCTAGATCCCCTCTCTCTCCACGCGTACTCCTCCCCGCATTCCCGTCGTCCTCGCGCCCACCCTGAACACTGTCCGCAGCAGCGTCACTGCGCACGCTCTCGGCCACAGCAGGTGCAGCGTCTGTGTCGAGCAGGTGCTTGGGGTGGGCAGCGGGGGCAGCAGTGTGTGAGGAGCAGAGGTGCACGGCGACCTCTATGAAGCCCTTGTGTGTGAACTTTATGGCGTTGCCCACTGCCATGCCACCCATGCCATTCCACAACATGCCACCAGAACATGCCACAAGATAGGCAAATCCGAGCAGCCATACAAAGAGCGGGCAATACATGAGATGGGCGCACAAGAGGCATGGTGCCACCAGGGGCATGATTTATGTGAGTTTGTGGATTCTGAGCGTGCACGGCATGAGCGTGGGTTAGGAGGGGGACGGGAGGAGTCGGGTTGGAGAGGAGGGGGGTGGGTGGAGGAGCAAAGAACAAGCCACGAGGTGCAAGCAAAGGACTGAAATCTTAGGTGAGAGGTGACAGAAAGCACGCGAGCAAGGCAGCAGCATGACCGCACTGCACGCCACGCCCCCATGGGCCCACAGAGCAATGCAATGCGAGAAAGGAAGCAAGCGAGTGCAAGGGCGCACCGAGGTTGTTGATGCACTGCTGCAGGCGCACGGGGTCGCCCACGAGCGTGCGCGGCACCTCTGGCGCTATGTCCCACGCCAGGGCCACTCGCTTCTGCGCCGCTTGCACCTGCCACACCACAATTGCAAGAGAGGGTGGGGGCGCGGGCGGAGCGACAGGTCACAGATGCCCAGCAGGCGGGGTTGCATTGTGAGAGCGGATGTTGCAGGGGACGTGCGCAGGGGACGTATGAAGGGGAGAGACAGAGGGGTGCGGCAGAGACAGAGGGGTGCAGGCAGAGACAGTGGGTGAAGGCGGTGGCAGGAGGGCGAGTGTGCGTAACGTCTGACCTGCAGGGCGTGGAGCACGGAGAGCACGACCTCCCTGGGGCGGAAGGGCTTGCGCTGCAGCAGCAGGCGACCCGCCTCGATCTTGGCAACGTCCAGCACGGTGTTGACAATGTGCAGCAGTGCACTGGCCGACTCAAACACCGTGTCTAAGTGCGAACTCACGTCCCCCACCAGCCGCTGCGCCTCCTCCCACTCCAACCCCACCCCGCCTCCTGCCCCTCCCGTGCGCCCCCAACCAGCTGCTCCTGCTGCCTCCATTTTGTGTGCATGCTTGCCCTTGGCGGGTGTGGCATGCGCGCCCCTGTGGGGTTTACCAGCGCATGCGCGCGGGACGAGCAGCGCTTGCAGCGAGGCGAGCGTGTCTGCCGCCACTCGCGTCATGCCCATGATGCCGTGGATGGGCGTGCTGCAGAGGCGGACGACGGATTGGGTACGTGCAGAGGGGAGGAAGATGAGAGGACACGAGGGAGCGGTAGGGGAAAGTGGAGGACGGCGTGGAAGAAGGCGAGGAGGTGGACGGGGGAGGGCAGGAGGACAGAAGGGTACTCATTGAGAAACGAGATGAAGCACGCCTCATGTGCCATACTTCACCGGATCTCACGCCTCACCGGATCTCATGGCTCATGTTCGCCAGGAACTCCGTCTTGGCTTGGTTGGCCGCTTCTGCTGCTTTCTTAGAAGCCTCCAACTCCTGCCACGTGGCGGGGAGACGAGCACAAGTGGGCATAGCAAGGGCGCGCATGAAGCATGGCAGGGAACTACCAGGGATGCATTGACCACCCTCCCGACATGCTATATGCAACCACGCAATGCTGCTGCCTGTGTGCTTGCCTTTCCCCCCCCACTCGACCTCCCCCCTCCCCCGCCCCCCCACGTCCTCCCCCCTGGCATGCCTGGTTGGTGAGAGTGAGCTGCAGCGTGCGGAGCAGCACTTGCTTCTCGAGCGTGGCGTTCATGGCCCGCAGCTGCCGCCGCAGCCGCCGTGTGTCGCGCACCACGGCGCCCAGCACGACGCCCACCACGGACAGCACGCACACGAGCCCCTGCGCCTGCAGCTCCGACGCCATGGCTGTCGACCGCTGCAGCGGGCCCCACCCGCGCGCCGTGGCGAAGCTCGTCAGCGCCGCCACCACAAATACCACACACGCCAGGAAGCTGCCCCTCACGTGCGCGCATGGGTGTTAGGGGGGGAATGGGGGAGGGGGGGTGGGGGCGAGGGAGGGAGCGTTGGAAGGATTGTTTGGGGACAGAGGGCAGGAGGGGAGCAAGGGGTGGGTGATGAGAAGAGCACGGGGAACATGCACAACAGGGCAGGCGATCATGGCGAGACAAAGGACGACAGATGGAGGGGGCGTTGGGGAGGAGTGGAGGGTGGCGTACAGGCGATTGAAGCGCACAGCAGACCACATGAGGAGCGGGAAGAAGAGGTAGGGCAGGGCGACGAGCCACTCCTCTGAGTCGAGCACGGGCGTGAAGAGCAGCAGCAGCAGCACCGCCAGCAGCCCCACCAGCGCCCCCGCCTCCACCATGCGCAGCATGCGCCACCGCGGACGCATGCACGCTGATGATATCACGCGCACGCTGCACACGCACACACAGACAGCACGCACGGCGCGCATGGCGCACGGCTTTGAGGTGCGGGGCCAGCGGGGGTGGTGGCAAGGCGAGATGCAGAGGAAGGAGCGGCGAAACGAGAAGAATAGAGCAAATTACAGAGCGCAGCACGCGGGATGACGTGCGACGGAACGCAAGGCAGTGACGGCAGTGGTGGGGCGGGCAGGGGGCAGCAGGCAGGTGCAAGCGTACCCTGAGCGCCATCCGCGCTGGCGGATGGGGCGCACGATCCAGTGGCGCGCGGACCAGAGCGAGTAGGTGAGCAGCGGCAGGAAGCAGATGACGCCCGCGAAGTCCGCCAGCCACCAGATCACAAACGTCCTGCGGGCCGTCGCCATGGGCGCACACGGGGGCATTCGTGGGGCAATCGGGGGCGTACGGGGGCATAGGGGGACAGCAGGTTGGCACATGCACGCGCGCACAACATCATGCCCCCTGCTTCTTGACCGTTCTCTCCGTCGAGGCCCCCTACCACCAAACACCTCCCCTCGTCCCTCCCGCTTCGCTTACCCGTCCGATCCCCCCTCCTGCGGCTCCTTTTCCTATTCCGCGCATGCGATCGCGCGCACCTGGCGGAGTCAGCGGCGGAGAGCAGGTGGCAGAGCCCCATGGTGATGGCCTGAATGGCGTTCGCGATCAGCGCGGCGACAGTGGTAACCACCATCATCTGCACCACGTCCTGCGCGCTATCCAGCGGCGTCGTCTCCTCGTACACCCGCGTCTCCTCTCCCTCCCCCCCACCCGCCTCCCCGAATGCGCCCCTCTCCTCGTCTGCCCAGCTCCGCGTCTCCGCGTCCTCCGTGCCTTGCTTGCCAGTGCAGCATACGCGCGCGCCCTCCATCCGACTGCTACCGCCTTCCAAGTCGCAGTCTTCCGCCGCTAACACGCCATCCCCGCGCTCTGTGGCGGGCGCCGCCGTGCACGCGCGCGGAAGGAGCGCAGCAGCGGCGGCGGCGAGGGCGGCGGCGGGCTGGCGGATGAAATGCGCGGCGACGACGGCCTGCATGGAGTTGGTGAGCGACAGCACCGCGCCCGCCGTCACTAGACCCCACGCCGGCGCGTCGGGCTGCGCCGTAGCGAACCAGAGATTAAATAGCAGGTTCCCGATAAATAATCCCACCGCGCAGCGGGGCCCGAGGCACTGGTCGAATGTTAGACAGCACGATGGAGGAAGGGGGGAAGGGGGGAAAGGGGGGGGAAGGAAGAACGACAAGGGATGGAGAGGAGGAAAGGAAGGCGGTGGCACAGAAGGGAGGAAATCTTCGGGGGAAGTGTGGAAAACGGGGAGATGCGAGTCGAGGGAACGGGCTGAAGCGTGGTGCGGAGAAGGACTTACGAGACTGGCGAAATAGGCAAAGCCGGTGGGCAGCCACACGGTAGAGAGCTGGCCTTGCAGCCGCAGGTTGCAAATCACAAACTCGATCGCGCCGAGACTCAAATAACCAAACGTTGCGCCAGCCGTTAACAGCAACTGCATGTGCCATGGCCACTTGTCCATCATCCATCTCGCAGGCCACCACGACACATCCGCCTTGCCATCGCGGGCACGCGCCGCCGCCGCGTGCCGCGGCTGTTCGCCTCCAAAGCTGGCATTATCGCGAGTGCCTTGGTCTAAAGGAACGTTCACCGAACCCTCTGGACGTTCTGCCGAACCGCCTTCAAGAGTATCCTGTGCTACGCGTCCCACGGTATCAGTCGCCAGCTGACTCATGACGGAGAGTTATTCTTGTGCTCAGACACCATGGACAATCCATCCAACAACAAAACAGCCTTTTTGAGAGGCAGGGGAATGAGGAATGAGGAACGTGGTTCTATTTCTTCGCTGCTCCGTTGTGAGGTGGGCGACAGGGCCAGTAAAGGGAACTGAACAGGGGCTTGAGGTGACAGTTTTGACGGACTTGTGAGTCGTGTCCTGTCCTGTGACCTGTCCTTGGCTTGTGGAGAAGATTTCAATGAAGGGGGTACTTTTCGTGAGACTGGCATGTCCCTTCGCTGGGCAGGTACTGTATCACGATATTTCAATTGGGAGATGGCCCTGATCTCAGCCCACTCCAGAACTGGAAATACGGTTGAGCACAAATCCCTTCCGAACAGTACTGCAGTAAGCCGATTGTACTGTTAAGTGTGGTGCTCAAGAGGGGAAACTGAGGTGTCACGTGTAGAACAGTGCCGAAGATGCTCCCCGAATTTGGGTGTGTATCAAGTGTATCTTAGCCAAATGGGAAGCGGCTCTGGTAAAAAATCATCATTTCGTAGCTCCTGGATACATCGACTTTCGGATTGCACTTTTTGCCTTCAGCGTTTTCGGTTGTTCCATGCTGTTGTACGTCCTTATCAACATCGCCCATTTTGTCCGCCTGGTCGTTAGCTGGCCCTTGAGGACACCGCCGCAAAGCCAGCCCTTCTCCCAAGTGGTAGCTTTGCTTTCGTCCTCTTCCAAGTGCTGTGCAGGTATGGCTGTGTACTCCTGCATCAGATGGGACCACGAATATGAGCAACTATGGGCTGAATTTGTGTAACACTAAGATGGCATTCCAGACCCGAGCTCATTCTGCTTGAGAAAACTGAAATCTGAGGGTCTGTTCTTGATGGAAATGATGAGGTTAAATTAGTCCAACCTGACCTGTCTCAAGACGTCAACATATGGTATCAATGTTACGCGGCAGCGGATTTTCAGGCGTTAGACAGTACCGATATAAGCGATCTGCATAGCCGCGAAAGACCTCGGCTCGGAATAGTGAACTTGGTTGAAACAACCAGTCAGTCAGATTGAAGGATGCCTACAGAGGTCTCCTCAGAGCTTGTAATGTACATAAATCAACTTCCTTTGCAACAAACTGCTGCTGGTGAGGCATGTACTGGATTATTACGGACTTTTGGAATGGAATCACGCATGAATGAAACTATGTATTTGGCTGTTGTTTTATTTATGAATCGAAATAATGGGATTCTGTTTACATTCATATGGAGAACACATGAGCTTAGATGTTTGGGGCATGGAGCATTAGCCAGGAACCCAGATGTGAGTGTAGCTCGAATCCAGATTCCTGTTATCGACAGAGCTCTCTTTACAGAGTCACCTGTGATTCTATTCTTTCGGAAACACTAAATTGCTTATTCACGAATCAGGACACGACTAGAAGACGGTCACTGTCACATGTCTATGTAGTCACACTGCCAATACCTGGTCCAAGCACCGAGCTACAAGCCTCGTCGTCAATCGTGGTGTCACATCAGCAAGTTCCCCACCCCTCAACCGAACCGAAACCCCTTTTCTCCCCCGTGGTGCTGCCGTATTGCCGACCACGTGTGTGAAGTACACCCCGCATACCTCCCCCAAACTGTCGCATCACGTGCATCGCGCGGAACGACAGTCGTCTCGTCTCGTCTCTCGTCGTCAGTCGCTCACAGTCACACCTCCGACTCCGCCGTGACGTCACGTCACTTTTGTGGTTCCCAGAGTTGCTTAACCCTCATCACCGCTCCAAACCGTACTCGATTCTGTGTTGCTTGACACCATGCTCAGTCTCGCTCCCTTCAACTTCACACTAAATTGCCCTTTCCGTACCCTCTTACCTCACATTTCCTCCCTTTCTTCAACACGCCAGTTACTGCCACCATGGCTCTTCCCAAGCGAGCGTGGTCGTCGCTAGGTCCTGCGACTTCCCTCGGTCTCCTCCTCATCGGCACCTCTCTCTTGCTTGCCGCTGGAGCCGACGATGGTACGAGCATTTCTTTTCTCCCGTTTATCCGCATCCGTTCCAAGAGCGCGGCGTAGTGTTGCGGTCCTAATAACTGGAATATGAACGTTGCAGTTTGTGCACAAGTGCGATGACAGGAGCCTTGACATACACAAAGCGAAGGTTACAAAAAAAAACTGTGTTCGCAATGGCAAGTCGTTGAACGAATCCCGTCCTTTCTCGCTCTGTGTGCGACCACCTCCCATGACGTCCAATTTCAAATGCAGGAACGCTGCGGATTGACTGCGGAAGCGTGGTCGAGAGCGGCGTGGCAGCGGCAGCGGGATTCATGGCGGACCAATACACGTCGGACGGCACGCCCTTCGCCATCGCGCCGGGCTCCACCAACGCCGCCAATTTAACGGCGACGCTCTCCCCTGCTGAGCTCACGGGCCGCGTCTTCTCCAACACCACCGGCGGTTGCTACAAAATCCCGCGTGCCACTGGCACCTACTTAGTGCGGCTCGGCTTCGCGTACTTAAACTTCGACAAGCAGGCGAACCCGCCCGTGTTCAACGTGACGGCTCAGGGCGTGCCTGTTCTCACGATTAATATGCTGACGGCGGAAGGGATGCAGAATAATGAGACGGCGAAGGCGGCGACGGCGTACTACCGTGACTTCATGGTGTTCACGGACACGGGATTCCTCGACGTGTGTCTCGTGCCCTTCTCGTCGTCCGTGCAGCCTGCCTTCGTGAACCCCTTGGATGCCGTCCTCTCCTTCCCCCCAGGCACCCAGTCGCGCTCTCCGCTGCTCAACACGCTCGAGGTCTACCCCACCCCCAGCACCGTGTACCAGGACTTGCCAAAAAAAGAAGGCGTGATTCTCGCGAACGCCATGCGAGTCAACATCGGAGGGCCGACCGTCGGGCCGGACATGGTGGGGCGCGTGTGGGACGCCGACGACCGCTCGTTCCTGCCGCGGAGCTTCCGCGCGACGAACGCGACGGTGAACAACACGGACGACCCGGACAACTTCTGGCCGCAGAGCATGCTGCGCACGTACCGCGAATCCATCAACGTGGACAGTGCGGCCGGCACGGAGATGCAATACTCCGGGCTCGTGGTGCCCATGGACCCCAGCAACCTCTTCCTCATCATCCTCAACTTCATGGAGCCCAACCCCGCCGTCAAGCGCGGCCAGCGTTCGATGGAACTGCAGCTGTCGTGGGGCGACGGTCAGACGATCGCCATCGGTCCCCCGGCGGACGTGCTAGACATGGTCAACTTCACGCAGCCGCTGACGGCCATGGCGTTGACGCACGTGGTGGCCATGTGGAACCCCTTCTCGTACTTCCAGAGCGTCGCTGTGGACCTGCGCGCCAGCAACAAGAGCCTGCCCGCCGTGATCAGCGGCATGGAGGTGTATGAAGCCATCCCCATTGCCCTGCCCCCCCCTGCTGACGCTGCTGCTGGCGCCCCTGCTGGCGCCCGCAGAGCTCGCCCCATGACGCTAACAGCGGAGGAGGCTCATGTGTTGCCCCCTCCTCCCCCGCCTCCTGCGACCAGCAGTGGTAAGCACTGAGTGCAGAGAAGACTCACAGCGTCGCCCACATGCCCTCGTGCTGTTGACCATGTTTGCGAGGCAATGAGGTCGCACGTCAGCTGTTTTTTCACTTTCCCTTGTGCTCTTTGCATCCGCAGCCTGCAAAGTGGCTTGCACCTGCGCCCACCTGAATCCGCCAGCTGGTTTCTCCAATGCCACCCCGCTTTCACCCCTGTGGCAGGCCTGTCAGCTGGAAGCATTGCTGCAATCGTGATGGGTGTGCTGCTGGGCGTGGCGCTGATTGCAGGGGGCGTCTATTTTGTCATCCAGCGCAAGAAGAACCCAACGCCTTTCACCAAATTCGGTTAGTACCGTATCTGAATAATCGGTGCTGTGGGATTTCCTTGCCTTGCTCATCCACTTTCCTTCTGGTCCTGTTGCTTGATGGAAGACGTATTCCAAATGCAACCCCCGCCATCCCTTTCCATCTGTACAGATGACGGTGGAACCGCTGGTGCAAACGCAAACCTGGTCGTTTGAAGGAACATGTGGTTTCTGAAGTCTAGTTGCCTAGCATGTGCCCTGGGTGGCATTTCCGAAGGGTTAATGTTGGATGGCCCCGTATATTCCAAACCACCTTATTTTGCCAGTGGTAGTTGATTTTGTTATACCCCAAATTGATTTTTTTGCCATTGACAAGACCCTACCATAACAGGTATCACTCTGGACATATACAGTAGGGAATTCACTTTGCAAAACATAAGATTATCGTACTGTAATGTGACCAAAAAACTCATTGCACATCATTACTACAATATACTAATGCTTGCGCATGTAGCTAGCTGCCATCATTCAAATAGCTTTGCTCATCAAGTCTGAAATAGCAAGTAACAGCCAACCCAGCAATTTGGGTACTGCATGTGGTGCAGACAGTGACATGTTGTAGACTGCTGCAGCAGCGCGTTGAGAGAGCCTCAGCATCCATTGGCCAAGACCCACAAGGCAGACAAGCATAATGGCGAACTCAAAGCCGAGGATGCACGATCCTGTGCCAGTAACTGCTACTGCTACTGCTCGTGCTCTTGAATATGATGCTGGCACTTTACCGTGACATGGCCACTGCAGTGTGTGCAGCTCCAACAGCAGCAGCCATGTCATTGTAGTGCTCTATACACCCACCATTGCCATCCACCATGTCTGGCTCTCCCATCCCCACAGACCCACCATGCCCAAAGTCCATGCTGCGCGGCATATGACTGCCCCCACCCATGCCATTCATAGCCCCATTGGGCAGAGACATGCCGCCTGGGCCCGATGGCATGAAGACACCTCCCAGCATGCTCATGTGAGCCGCTGCCAAGTCATGAGTGCTGCCCCGCAACTCCATGGGTGCCATGCCATCCAGAGGCCGGAACTGCATGTGTGGCGGCACACCTGCCGACGGGCCCGCTGTGCCTAGGTGAGGCGGCAGGGCGTAGAGGCGGGAGGGGTTCATGAGCCCTGGCGGCTGCATCAGCATGCTCAATGACGCAGGCGATGGGCCGTCAGGCCGGCGTAGCCCAGGGATTGCCATGGACACTGGACCCATGCCCGCACCAGCAGCCGCTGCAGCAGCTGCAGGGACCAAGCCGTTGGCTGCTGCTGCACTGGTTGCTCCTCCTAGCCCTGCGGCAGCCGCAGCTGCTGCCATGCTGGCACCTGCAACTAAAGCAAACAAGGCAAGATAGTAGAAGCATGGGACACAGGGGTAATGTGAAATCGGCTCCTCAGGTGCCCGATTGACTATCTGTGTATAAGATAAGGTGGCCAAGGCTGAGCGGACAAGCACAAATGGGGCTTACATGAGTCAAGCTCCGGTTTGATCAGCCCGTTGCTCGCATACGCCTGACTTAGCATCGCCCCGTTCCCACTGAAAGCTCCGCCCATCATCCCTGCATGGCCCGATGCAGCAGCGGCAGCGGAGGCAGCCGCAGCGGCGCTGACAGGGAGGAAGGAAGCCGTCATCATGTCAGCAGCGGAGCCAGGCGCGTGGGGGTGCGTGTGAGGGTGGCCATGAGGAGCGTGGGCGAGGCCGGACGGAGAGCCTGTGATGGTACGCAGACGAGAGATCTCCGTCTGCGCCATGGCTAGCTCCGTTTGCAGCCGCACCACCTGCACACACACCCCACCAACAGATAGTAGACGCGTCAGGTGAGAATTACGATCCAATACATGTTCAAACTGGCTCGGTCAGGTGGTTGCAAACCTACTGCCTTTAAAGCGTCACCAGAGAGAAGAATTCGAAATAATGACGCAAGGAGACACCAAGAGAAAGATACGCGATCAGGTTGATATGTGTACGGGGGGAAGCAGGAGTAAAGCAGGAGTAAAGATCAGGAGTCGACTAACGAAGAATGATCGGATGTCTGTGTCGCGTACCTGTTGTTGCAGCGCAAACAGCGCTCCGACGCAGCCGTATACCGGATCGCTGATTCGGGCCTCTGCCTCGTACGACAGGCTGTTCACGGCGTCCTCTCGGCTGGGCGGCGGCAGGTCCTGTAGCAACTTGCCCACGTTGCTGGCGCCGAAGATGCGGTGCACGTTGGCGAATCGCAGGCTCTGATCGGGCGAGAAGTACGCCGCGAACACGCAGGTGCTCGTGCACTTGCGCCGCAAGAACTTGCATGCGCCGCACGGAGATATCGACGGCGTCGCTCCCGCAGCGGCCGCAGCAGCAGCGGCGGAGGCAGCAGCAGCGCCAGCGCTGCCGTTGGACGCAGCCGCAGTGGTTGCGGCACCGCCTGCGTCGTTTTTGCCTAGCGCGGACGCGGAAGACGTGGTAGTAGCGGGCATGGTAGACGACAACGTGCCGGCTAGATTCGAGGATCCAACGCCTGAGATTGGCGCTGCGCCAGCCGCATACGCGTTACTGGACTCAGAAGCACAGCTCAATGAGGCCGGCACTCCCGAGTCTGCTGTGGGGCCGGCTGCTAAATGAGGCTGAACCAAACAAGTGTCTGATCCTGGCCGAGACAAGCTTCCGATCTGTCCCAACGAATTGACAGCCTCTCCGTGTTGATTGCTGAAGTCGTGTGCTGCAGCTATGTGACCTGCCGTGTGACTCCCTTGAGGCCCGCAGCCAGCTCCCATAGACGTGCTCACTGGCACCGCGGCTGGCGGGAGTGGGCTTAACTGTGGCGACAGGGGCACAGAAAGCATGGATGACGTGTCAGCACAAGGGGAGGAACCACTGGGAGGATAAAGGCCGTTTTGGACCGAAACTGACGCCATTTGCATGTCCATTGTGTCCACGCCAGAGTCTTCGCGACTGAGGTGTAAAAGCGAAGCGATCAGTCGAGAATCAGGCGAGATCCGATCTACAGCAACCGCTACTGGAATGACTACCTGAAGCGGAACGATACAGCCACTGCGTTGCTGCGGCAATCAGGAAAGTCTGCGAGAGAAGGATGACGTGCGGTAGACTACCCTACGTAGATCCCGCGTGAAGTACCGAAAGGTTATGGCACAGCCCGTACAGCGGCTCAATCAGAGCGACCAGTTTGGTGACACAGGAATGTCGACGAATAATCCGGTGGCGCACGACCACGGGTGAGAGAGAATGACAAAGGGCTCGTACTCCGCTCCTTGATAACGAGAGTTCGCGATCCTGATACAGGCTGTGTTGAAAATAATTCAACGTCTGATCAGCGATGGCTTACACTTGGCTCCTTGGGAGATTAAGAATTTGTGCTGGTGGATTGATGGAGAATGCTTGGTGCAGTGGTGTCCAGCAAGAGACAGCAGTAGTGGGAGCTTGCGGAAGCGGAAGAGGCAGAGAAAGGAGGTTCCGGCGGAGCAGGTGTACGAAACAAATTCCGTGTTGAGGGCGGAGTAGTTTGTCAGCCCAGCGCACAGCCTAGTGGGCCGCGCACGCCAGTCAGGGGGACGGGGAGGACCGAGTGGAAAGGCGGTGGGGGTTTCCCGAGGGGTTGGGGGGAAAGGAGGGGTGGGCCCTGGGAGTAACACTGTTACTGTATGAGTCGCTTCAATTGGAGATCCTGATGGACGGACACCCTACAAACCCTCAGCTCCTAGATTATGGGACGGCCGACCTGTGGTTGAGAGAGATGGGCGCGCCCTATTGGTTGACTCCTGGACCTGATACTTTCAGGGAGAGGGTGGAAGAGGGAATTGATCAAGGCAAATCGGAGTAACATTTATTCAGGATTTCGTGTGTGTCAAATGAGTCGCCGCTCGTTACAAGGGAGGTCTGGGTACAAGGATTAGTCCATTTAGCACTGTGTGAAGGCTCGAAGTAGGAAGGAACCAGTCGCTAGGCAGAGCGCTGGTACCCTGTCAAATAGATTCAAAAACGAAAACGGACGGCTGAGCGGTGACAGAGTGGCGTCCAGCAGGGAAGATGGTGCTGAGCCATCCATCCAAGTGGACGACATTGGTGGACGAATAAACGTTATAAGTTCTGTGTCGAGATGTAAACAGACTTGTCAGAAACACGTGTATGCTTATAATTTTCTATTGAATTCATGTATGGCCAAGAAGAGCAGTGTGTAGATTTTAGAGTGCAGCATACTATTGCTATTGATTTGATCAGCAGGTGCATAGAAGAACGGTATGGTTGAGAGACTAGAAGCATAATTTCATGTTGACAACTCCAAATCCATAAAAATGTACCAATGTAGGTACCCATACATTGCATGTCATATTAATGGAAAATGTACAAATTATTTGAAATTTAGCACTGTTTCATATTTGTTTCTGCTTGAAGATCTTGCTTTTCCATATGAACCCATGAATACGTTGTTGGGAACAATAAGTCTTAAGCGCCTCTGTCGTGTCGAAACTCATGACACTAGCGAAGCAGTCTGAATCGAAGCATCGCGAGTCAACCCTCGGAGGTTAGGGTAACCGCCTGGAGGTTACAGGAAAGTCAAAGGTCAGCGACCTTTGACTCGACAATTACAGCGCGACAGCAAGGACACACAACTGACTCGACATTGAGCAGTTGCCCGAGTCGCACTGTATCGAATCGCAACAGTAAAACGGTTTGAATTTATCTATTCGTATTCCTTGTACTCTTATATAAACCTTTGTATTTGCTTGTTTAATCAACTTACTTTGCCCTCACATACTAGCGCAAGGTGGTTCAATTACTCTTTATTTCAACGCTTCCGCTATTACAATCCTACTCAGACCTTAAGCTCTACAAAGATCCTAGGGCTTCTCAGCCCAACATGGTATGAGAGCAGCTAGAGTTTAAAGGCTATTTTTTCTCTCAACACTCAATACAAAGAAATTAGACATGTCTGCAAGGAAGGAGAGGAGCTCCTCCAACGGCTCTCCAGGCACTACTCCTACTCCACCTCCTGCCTCTGGCCTACAGACAGAGGAAGGTACTACCGCAAGACCAGCAGCTAGGTCCACGGAAACACCCGCAGGCTTCGATCCAAATATGATGGAGAAATTTTTCTCCTTCATGTCCTTCTACGAGCAACACCAGCAAGGAGTGCCTGCGCAGTCAAACAACAGCAACAACAACGTCGTTACTCCGATGAGCCTCGACGGCTCATCCTACGCACGCGGGATTCAACAACAACAACAACAGCCTACCTTTGCGCCGTACGAGCCCCAACGTGGCTCCGTCAGCTTCATGCCGCAACCGCAACCTGCATCGGGACAAGAAAGGACATTGGATGCGTTACAAGTCCAATCGCAATTCGCGCATGTCCTAAAACTACAAACGACAAAGCCTTTCGACGGCAAAGATTTCTTCACCTGGTCGTTCGAGTTTGAACTGATGATGGAAGGAGCATGTCAGAACATTATAGCTTACTTATTTGTGTAGGCTATAGTGGGGTATCCCATAGGGGGTACAACCCAATTAGGGTTTCATATTTGTACTCACCTCAATTCATAGTTCATTCATTCTCGTTCACTTCTTCTCATGGTATCGAGCAGGTTCCCCTGTGGGACCTGTGCTTAGGGCCCACCACCTCGAAACGTCTTTTTTTTTTCTGCCCTAGCCGCTAGCGCACCGCCCACCCTCGAACGTGAGCGCCGCCCCTAGCGCCCGTCTGCTGCCTGCTCTAGCGCTAGCCGCCCGACGCGCCGCCCACAGCGCTGCCCGACGCGCTGCCCTAGCGCCGCCCTAGCGCCGCTCGATGCGCCAGCCTAGCGCCGCCCGACGCGCCGCCCGACGCGCCGCCCTAGCGCCGCTCGACGCGCCAGCCTAGCGGGTACTCCTGCTGGAGGTACTGGTGCTGTCCCTGCTGTTTCTGGCGTCGCCACGCGGCCCCGACCGTACTTCGTTCCGCTCCTGCAGCAGGTTCTTGGTCTTACACCTTCTCCTCCGCCTCCCTTCGAGGGTCCACAGCCTGTCCAGTCCCAGTCACAGCTACAGCCTGCCTCCCCTTTGCCTGCTCCTTCTCCCTACGCTGGTCCGACTGGAGGTCTTACTGAGCGTCGTGAGCCTGCGTCTCGTCCTGCGTCGCCTGTTCGTCCTGCACGCACTAGTGGTCGCGGTTCGCGTCAGCGTCCTCCTCCTGTCCCTGGCACGCACCGGATGTCTCTGCGTCCGTCCACTGCTCCTCTGCGTGCCCCTTTGCCTTCTCCTCCTGAGTCCTCTCTTCCTGCTCTTGCCGACCCGGAGTCGGACTCTCTTCGTGCTGCCAGTCTCACTGTCACGCGTCTCCTTGCTACTGCTGTCACTGACCCTTCCTTCGAGTCTTCTGCTGCGTCTGCCCTTGTCACTGAGCTTGTCGACTTTGCTGCGCGCTGTCGTCTGGACTACGCTGCTAGTCTTGTCGCTGAGTCTGAGTCTGCCTGTCCTCCGTCCGTCGGGGGTGAGTGTGCCCTAGGCACGGACGTCCTTGAGGACAGGCAGGAGGAGTTCCAGTGTCTGGCCGCCGCTTCACCTCATCTCGCGTCTGTACTGCTCGCCCCTGAGGGAGACCCGGATGCACTAGACATCCCGACTCCGCGCTCTTACGCGGAGGCGATAGAGGGTCCCTACTCCTCTCAGTGGCAGGCAGCTATGGATGCAGAGATGGCTTCGTGGAAGTCCACAGGCACCTACGTTGACAGTGTTCCCCCTCCTGGGGCGAACATCGTCAGTGGCATGTGGATCTTCAGGGTGAAGCGGCCGCCGGGTTCTCCGCCTGTCTTCAAGGCGCGTTACGTGGCTCGTGGCTTCAGTCAGCGGCAAGGAGTTGACTACTTTCAGACCTTCTCCCCCACCCCAAAGATGACCACTCTTCGGGTACTGGTGCACGTTGCTGCTCACCGTGACTACGAGCTGCACTCTCTCGACTTCAGCACTGCTTTCTTGCAGGGCAGCTTGCACGAGGAGATCTGGCTGCGTCGCCCACCTGGCTTCTCTGGGTCTTTCCCTCCTGGTACCCAGTAGAGTCTCCGGCGTCCAGTTTACGGTTTCCGCCAGGCGCCACGTGAGTGGCAAGACACACTGAGGACTGCGCTTGCGGCACTTGGGTTTGCTCCTTATACTGCCGACCCGTCGCTGTTTCTGCGCACCGACACCTCTCTGCCGCCGTTCTACATCCTCGTGTACGTCGACGACTTGGTCTTTGCCACAGCTGACACTGCTGGACTCGCCTACGTGAAGTCCGAGCTGCAGAAGAGACACACGTGCACTGACCTGGGTGAACTGCGCAGCTACCTTGGCTTGCACATCACCCGGGACAGAGCACGCCGCACTATTACCCTGACTCAGTCACACATGGTGCAGCAGGTCCTTCAGCGCTTCGGCTTCACGTACTCCTCGCCTCAGGCCACTCCTCTGCCTACTCGCCACTCGCTCTCAGCTCTGCCTTCGGATGAGTCCGTAGAGTCGAGTGGCCCGTATGCAGAGCTTGTTGGCTGCCTCATGTACCTGATGACCTGCACACGACCTGACCTTGCATACCCTCTCAGCATTCTCGCTCGCTATGTTGCTCCTGGGAGACACCGACCAGAGCACATGGCTGCAGCAAAGAGGGTGTTGCGCTACTTGTGCAGTACGTCGGGCATGGGGCTAGTGCTTGGAGGGCGCAGTCCAGTGGTCCTCACTGGGCACGCGGACGCTTCTTGGGCTGACGACCAGGCTACGCAGCGGTCGTCACAGGGTTACACCTTCGGCCTTGGTTCCGGCTCTGTTTCGTGGCGGGCTACTCGCTCGTCTTCTGTTCTCGGCTCCAGTTGTGAGGCTGAGATCTACGCCGGGGCTATGGCTGCTCAGGAGCTTCGCTGGCTCACCTACCTGCTGACCGACCTTGGAGAGCCGCCTCGTTCTCCTCCTGTCCTGTACGTAGACAACAAGGCCATGCTGGCCTTGTGTCGAGAGCAGCGACTGGAGCACAGGACAAAGCACATTGCTCTCCGCTACTTTCTTGCTCGTGAGCTACAGCAGCGTGGACAGTTGCGACTTGCGTACGTGGCCTCTGAGGCCAACACTGCTGATGTCTTCACCAAGGCACTTGCGCCTTGTGATCATCAGCGTTGCTGCACGCAGCTAGGTCTTGTGCCTGTCTTGCCTCACTTGCTCACTTCTTGACCTTGCTTGTACCTTCACCTATATATACTCTTGCTCTTGCTTGCTTGACTCTTGTATATCTCTATATGTGATCTTGCATGTGAACTGGCCTTGTGGCCCTTGAACTTGTGCTCCGAATGTGTGGTGACTTTGTGATCCACCCTGAGCTTTGCTTTGCTTTGCTTGACTGGTCTTGTGACCCCTTGTTCTCCCCCACTTTGCCTATGGGGGTGTGTCAGAACATTATAGCTTACTTATATGTGTAGGCTATAGTGGGGTATCCCATAGGGGGTACAATCCAATTAGGGTTTCATATTTGTACTCACCTCAATTCATAGTTCATTCATTCTCGTTCACTTCTTCTCAGAGCACAGATTCTTGGCTTCTTCGACGGGTCCCTGCCATACCCAACAAACGGGACACAATATGAGAAACAGCAATATACATATCAATCGATGATGGCGTACACGATTCTGCTGAGGAACATCACCCCAACCCAGCAGCAGAACATCAGGACTTACCGAGGCTACGGCAACTCCGCGGAGCTCGCGTACAACCACCTGAAGAACCTGTATCAAGCAACAGACAGCGTAAACCAGAGCAGGTTAATGGCGCAGTTGACAACGATTGAAATGAAACCAGGCGAGAAAGGCATGGCTTATATCAGCCGCT